TACATATCTACTGACCTAGCGATTTTTACAAAGCTTTAAAAAATTCAAAGAAGCTCCTCCGAATTTTCTGTTTGAATATATCCGTAATTATAGTATAGCAGCATTTTTGGGCAAAAAAAGTATTCATTATGCATAATGATGAATGTTTTTCTTATAAAGTTGAAAATGACTCGATAATACAAAGTAATATACAGGAATTTGCGTGCCATCATGAAAAAGCTGATACGCGAATTGTTAATCATTTGAGTAAATTAGCGAATAATATGGTCGAAGCATCTGACATTGATATCCTTGTTATTATACTAGGAAATATGCATAAATTAGTAACATTAGAAATTTATTTAAGTATAATAGGAGCGAAGCGTAATATTATTAATTCCATCAATTGTACTGAATCAGCTAGAAAACTTGGCTATCTTGTGTGTCGTGCTCTGCCTGGTTTTCATGCATATCCAGGCTGTGATTGCACGGCGAGCTTTTATAAAAAGGTAAAATTAAGCCTTTCAAGAAATTTATAAAAAATCCACACGTACAGTTAGTATTTGCTAATTTAAACAACATTGATAAAATTAATAATTTTAGAGATATAGAAATATTACAACAATGGACGTCTAAGCTGTCTGGTATCAATAGTAATAGCGTAGATAAAGCTAGGCTATTAATTTTTTTTTTTTTTATTGAGTAAATAAGGAGATAGATGGCGCTAGGCTGTATTGCCCATTCCGCCAATTTACAATATTATACAGGTTTTTTAACAAAAATATTTTCTTTATACCTTTATAACTACTTATAATAGTGATATGTAATTACTGAACCACTTCCAATAATATTAGACTATAACCTATATTTCCTCTGGCTTTACCCTTTGCTTCAGAAATACTTTAGTTTTTCCTTTTCTTTGGAAATTTTATAAAAATAGAAATAGAAAATTTTATAAAAATATAATAACTTATAAGCTATTTATACTTTCCGTGACACAAAACACAATAACTCTTATACTTAATATTAATTATATATTACAGTCGATACTGTTTAAGAATTTCGCAATCACAAAAATTGCATTTGGTGTCATACTATGCAAAAATGACTCTATACAAAAAGGTGGGAAAAATCCCTGTTTGATAAGCTCTTTAACAAACTGACTTCTTACACACTCAAATCTTTTGCACTGCCATAAAATATGATTAATCGTTTCTCTGGCTTCACCACATTCACATATATCTGAATCAACAATATTAAATCTAATTAGACTTTCTTTAAGAGAGTGATGGCCTGAGCGCATCCTATTAAAAGTTACAAAAGCTTTTCTCCGGAGTCTGATCCTCTGATACCATGGGGTCGCGTCCTCTGAGGCATAATTCTGAAAGTATTTAATACCTTTCTCTCTACCTAAATTTTTACACCATTGACTTGTCTCTACTTTCATTTTTTCCTTCCATCTACTTCTGAAGTCGGAGCTAGGTATAGTGAACTGAGAATCGATTCCCTTTACACAGCTCTCTTTTGCGGCGATGTCTACCACTTCGTTGTAGTTAATTCCGCAATGGGCCGGAACCCACCAAAATTGTACTTGTTTCTCTTGTTCTTCTAACAATATAAGTTTTTGCTTAATGAATCCAATAATCGGTGCATGATTTTTAAAATACGATGGCCTACTCAAAGCCTCTAGCACACTTTTAGAGTCTGAGAATATATAGAAACAGTTTCCCTCTTCTTCTTCTATAATCTCTAAGGTCTTTCTAATGGCCATAGCTTCTGCTGTAAAGATCGATGCCAAGAGTTTTGTTCTGCAATAGTAAATTTTTTTATCAGTTACACGCACTACAGCAAACCCGACAAACTCAGAGTGAGTTCCCTTGGAGCCATCAGTAAAAAAACATATGCCTTTGCTACTTAAGTTTCTAACCATCGTATCCAAGTTCTTTCGCCCTTCAGGACTCTTCTTAGCATTCTGCCCTTCTTCAAATGAGACTACTGCTCTGTAAAGCAACGATTCGTATGAATTACTGAAACAAATAGGCTTGTCTGAGCTTGCTATCAAGAATTTATATAAATCCAATTCCTCGTAATAACTGACCAACCATGGAAGTTCTAGGCTATTAATTTTTCAAAATCGATTTACATCGACCTCTATTGTCGAATATTTTCTCAAAAATGTTAGAAGATTTGACTCTTCCCAACTTCCACCATGTTGGAAGTCACTAAAACAAAAAATTCTCCGTACAATTTTTGTAACTTCCATGTGGCAAAATGCTACAGAAGCAAATTGTATCAGTTTTCCGCCAGAACAATGTAGTTGGACACTCAATGAAAATAGAATTGAACCACTGTGGTTCGAAGGTAATACAACACCTCTTAAAGTTGAAGATATTTTTGTTGTTGAAATAAATGAAATAGAAAATTGCGAAGTTAATAATGATTATGATAATTTCCATGCTGATAATGATGACGATAATGATTATGATGATGATTTTAATAATGGCAATGACGATGACGATTATTATTTTGAGAGTAATAGTAATCATGAAGATAATAATTGAAATTAAAATAATATTATGTGTGCCTGTAGATGTAAATGTGTAAGTAAGTCTAAGTGTAAGCTTGTATGTTTATGTGTAGATTATTATTTATTGTATAAAATTTAGAATTATAAATAAAGAATACTTCATTGTGATATTGCTTATGAAATATTCAAATAAATAAACTTTTGTTAAAATTTAAATTTATTTATTAATACTATCATTATGCATTACTTGTACTCCATCCCTAAAACCTTTGAGTATCCCCAATGATGAACAATTTATGTATCTTTAACATTTGCTGCCACAGGTTTAAACCCAAAATAAACGTGGCACTAAATGTTTATAAAATAAAAGAAGATTTGAACTTTAATTTAAGTCCAGTTTGTACCTATATCAGAAGATTTAAAAAATCACTCTAATGCTTCAATCTGTCAAAGATCAGTTCAGAGGTTGGAGGTTTTACCATAAACTCTTAATTTGCCGTTAAAATTGAAAATCCAGTTCAGTTATTAGTCGAAGCCCAGATTGAATAGACATTTCAGAGAATTCTCGATTCAAACGAATCCTAAGCCCCCATCTCCGATTGAGCTCGAACAAACGTAGACGAGATTTGTGCATGAAATTCAGGTTTTTATCCAGAAACGTGGTGGATCTTGGGATATCCGAGCTTCAGGAGTCTTGTATCCAAGTCATCTCCAGGAATACCCTCTACGTTCCATTTCAACTAATTTTCGTCATATTAACAATTTAGTATTGGATAATATGTATTTTTGCGTATCTACTAAAAACTCTTCTTTCTTATAATAAATCTATCTGATTTTCTAAGATACCCAAATGCTTTCAAATCATAAATATATGTTTCTAAAATTATAAGTAATGAATTCATTATTGGTTATCATTTTATCATTTCTTTCCCAAGATCTACAATTTAAAAAAATCTAACTAATAGTGGTAATAAAATTAATACATTTGTGAATATTTCATTGAATAACTCGCTTCTATATCCAGAATAAACAATTGTTTAATCAATATTACCATAGTGATAACTTTTTTTTAAGAAATCAAGTCTACTTATTCAATTGAAACAATTTCACGTTCTAAACATAGACATTATTGTATTAGTCATGGCAATGGCAGTACAAGAACGAATTATTCCTTCATCAAATACTCTCGTGAAATATGATAATCCTATATTAGTAATAAAACATCCAGAGAAATCGTCAAAAGATACTACGCGTGGAAAAATAAAATCTGCTTGTAAAGCTAAATCACCACTTCCACTAACAGCGGATGGTAGGAAAGAAACTCTAGAAGTACTTAATAGTATTTTACCACCTAAAGAATGGGAGGAGGATGGTCAGATATGGACCCAACATGTTTCCAGTACTCCTGCTACAAGATTGGATGTTATTAATTTACAAGAACAATTAGACATGAGATTACAACAACGACAAGCTAGAGAAACTGGAATTTGTCCAGTAAGAAGAGAACTATATTCTCAATGTTTTGGTGAGTTATCTTTGTAATTTTACTAAAAAAACTGTATATTATTAATTGATTTTATCCTAGATGAAATCATAAGACAAGTAACGATTAACTGTGCTGAGCGTGGATTACTTTTGCTTCGAGTAAGGGACGAAATTAAAATGACTATGACTGCTTATCAAACTCTTTATCAAAGTAGTATTGCATTTGGAATACGAAAAGCATTACAGGTAAATATATAATAATTATTTAATGATTTCATCATTATTAATTAATTTTTTATCATTTGAAAATTATTAATGTATTAATTAGGCGGAAGAAGGCAAAGAAGATTTAATTACTACAGCAGAAGAATTGAAAGCTCAAAAAATTGAACTCGAAAAAGCAGTAGCTCAGTTGCAACAAAAGTTTGAACAGGCTGAAAGAAGATCAACAGAACTCCGAGATGCTGAACAAAAAAAGCATTCTGAGGAAATTGAATTTCTAAAAAAAACTAATCAACAACTAAAAGTAATTTTTTAATATTTTTTCCATGTATCAATCATTATCTTTATTATTGCAATTATAAAAAATTTTAATTTATTTATAATTATTTTAGACTCAGTTAGAGGGAATAATTGCTCCAAAAAAATAAAAAAAGAGAGAGATAAATTTAAAAAGAATATTGAAGAAGATAATAAATAAAATTAACATATACTTTATATTTGTTCATATGATTGTTTATCGGCATGATATTTTGTTTACAAATGTATGTAAGTAGCATTATAAAATGTATAAATATTGCTCATTGAAGAATATGTCCGATAATATTCATAAACATATAATGTATTTAATGTCCAATTTGTCGCTCTTGTCGTGTCAACTATCTTCACATTTTCATTAATATTCGTAAAAATAATTTATAATTAGATTTAATTACACTCTTTGAGAGTCATTTATAAATACGGTGCAATTGTCTTACAAATTCTATTAACGTACGAATTTTTTTTCACAATTATTTTTTGGTTTCAAGTTAAATTTATTAATTATTGGCACCGTGAATGTTTAATTGACATTGACAACTATATTTTTTTATTTTCAATTTAATCAGCAATTTTATTTTTAAATTAAGAATAAATGACAATAAAATGCCATCAGTTTGTAAATGTATCAAAAAATAAAAATCAATTCTAAAACAGAAACGATAATTCAACTTGAAATTTTTGGTCCCTGCTATGAATTCTGAAAAATGGATAGATTTTTCAACTCTCAAGTGTTAATTTGTATAATTCATTTTACAAAATTAAACTCTAGCCTATGCATATCAACAACATGTGTCATCCATATGAAAATATTGACATAAACATTCATTACAAACATAATACTATTACTATAAGGCCATGTCACTTATATTACAAGTAACGTTTATTCTTAATACCAAATATATATATATAAATATTTTTTTTTTATTTTCTTTGAATTTGACACTATCTTATTATTAACAAAATTCATAATATATGTTGCTAATACAGAAATAATAATATAAACTACATCAATAAATTGTTTGCACCCATCGTACAGCAACAGCACAAAGTGATACTTTGAAGAATACTTGAAATACCAGACCTTCTCATGTCCCTCATTATTCTATATAATAAGAAAAATACCTATTATCAATAATGTATCTTTCCCTTATTACCTGTATTGATTTGATGATTCTTGAACTATCTATTTAAAATTATATTTAAATAAATAAAATATTCTTACTAACTGAACGACTGCTATTTTTTATGACTTCAATTTAATTTCACTTTTAGTTGTCTTAAATAAAAAAATTAATAAATTACAATGATCATATCAGAATATCATCGCCCAAAAACACTTCATAAATACTGATTACCTTTCCATTCGACTGTGATAGACTGGGCAAGATCAAAGCATTTTATATTTTTAACAACTTTTTAGTGATATTTTATAGCATGATACTATTTCTAGTGTAATACAGGAATGTGTCTATATATAGCAACTGTCAAATAATAATTAATTTATCTAGTCACTGTTAGTTGGAAAATCTATCCTAAACAAAAGAGCGTGCAGGATAAATAAATATCTAATGGCCGGAATCTCAAAAATTCTTTCGAAAAATAACTTAATCAATAATTTTAAATATTTAAGTCTTTAAACAGAAAAATCATGCTTGTATTCGATAAAATGATATCAATGTCAATTTATTCATTCACACTGGGATTCATAGAAATGAAAAAATTTCATTATCAATGAATCAATGAAATCTAGTGCTCAGGAAAAAATTCCTCATTTTCTCTTGTTTTCATTTTTAAAATCCAAATAAATCCAAATAATGTTGTCATAATTCTTTTTTTTTTGTTTGATAAATAATAAAAATTTTTCAGTATTTTATGTTAATATATGAAATTTTATGATTCGTGACTTGATTCATGACCTACTGATGTATATATTATACAATTTGCGCACCAAGAATCACTTAATTTCGTCCTTTCTTTGAACGTTTTTTCTTTTTTTTCTTGGATGAAATACTCGAAGTATTTGTTCCAGTCTTCCCAGCGTTTGGAGTGTCCGTAGTAGGGCTCGTGCATATTAAAGAATCTGAACTTTCTACTCCAATAAAAGTTGATAATTCTTGCCCAGTTAAATCTTCACTTTCGCTTTCTGGTTCAGTTTCGCCACCACCAACATTTACTTTGACGTTGTCTACATCTTCTTCAGCATTACTCAACTCCAAAGATATGATTTTTTCTCGTAGAGTTTCAACCTAAATTTATGATATATATGTTAACAATAAGAAACAATAACTATTTATAATTATTGTCTAGGAATTACATATTAAAAAAATTTATTATCAATGATTCTCTGTTATAAGAATTACTTCCATTAATTAATTAAAATTAACAAACTAGTCTGTGACTAAATGGATAAATCATTCGAGTTAAAAACAAACATGTTCTAATTGTAAGTGGTTAAATTGCTAAATTATTGTTGATTACTAAAAAAAAGTCAGTAATCAAACCGTACCCATGGTGAGAACGAAGAGCTATCAGTAATCAGCAAAAAAGAAATGGCACGCACTCAAGACAATGTGAGTTGCATTCCTGATGTAAATGTTGGATTCTTGTAATTATTAAATAGTGATAGTTAGTGTATAGTTAAATAAGTTCGAATATATATACATTGGTTAACGTGCAACATGCATAAAGCTATATGTGCACTGTGCAAGCGCATCCGTTTTCGCGGAGAATCTACTCTGAGTTGTATCGATGATGATGATGATTGATTCTAGACGCTGCCTATTTTTATGGGGCTTTCACTTTCTTTGGCATAATAATTCCCTCAACATTGAACCATTATTCACTGACATGTTTTAATTTAACTATATATCTAATTCTAATTTTTTATGTTATTGAAGAAGCTCGCTAATCATATGTTATAATTAACGTTTATTGGTAAGATATTTTGATAATTTTTAAGCCACACAAAGCAAAAGCCTTTTAAAAAAACTATTTTTTTTTTTTTTTTAATATAAAAAATTGATTGATCTTCAAAGTTTTAACAATGTGCTCATTTTGAAAGCTGAAAATCTATTTTTATTGTGATGATAGGAAAAAATATTTACAATTGATGAGAAAAATAAAAAAAAAGTTCACCAGCACTCTAATGTGTACGATATAAATAATAAATATAAAACACAAAATGGTGCATATGATTTGTCTCAATGTGTGAATGATTTTACTACCTCCCGCTCAATGAGCTTCTCGACGTATTCGACCGTTCGGACGCGACGTTCACCAGTCACTTCGTCCACATATTCTTCAGTACGACGTGTTACCTTTTCATCCACTATTTTTTCAGATTCGCGGACAGCTTTAGGCGGACCCACCTTGCTGCGGACTGCAAGTTTTGGAAAATCCGCGCTAGACGGCCGTAATGTAGCGAACTATGAGTGTCAGACAAAGAAAAACGACAACCCATTTGTTATCACCTCATTATTTCTTATTAGCATCCTATTCCATGTTTTTTATTTTCACTTTCCATTTCAAAGTTAGACAAATTTATTAGATAATTAATTCTTTGAACACGAGCTTAGATTAGTAGAGATTGGTTAACATGAGATTTTGATAACACAATGTTGGTTAATTGTTGATTAACTCATTTAGTAAAAAACGGAAAAATTGTTCAAGTTATTATAGATAATTATCCGCCATTTAAAACACTTACCTCGCCTTTCTTATCCGGTTCAATAATTGATTCAGCAATTGGCGAATCTGGTTTTGTTGTATCCATCATTTCGCTCATTTTTTTAATTACCATTTGAGCTTGAAGTGCATCCTAACAGATAATTATTTATAATTACTATTCTGAGATATAATTAGCCACTTGGAATTATTTTAATTTTTTTATTGAACAAAATGCCTCAAGTTAAATTTATTTGCATACTTGTTCTAGAGACTTTAGTCTAGCTTGTCTCCATGCAGCACGTTTTTCTGCTCGTAATGCACGTTGTTCTGCTGGGCTTAAATGACTTTCTTCATCATCATCAGATATTAAACCCTTTAAATATATAATTTATATTCGTAAATTGATTTTTAATAAAAATATTAATTATTGATTGAACTTACCTCTTGCAACATTTTTTCCTTCAATCGACGTTCCGCTTTTGCAGTCCTTACAATACTTGGTATACCCTGCATAGAAGGTAATGTACTTCGCGTACTCAATCTGCTACTGTAAGGTAATTAATGTACATACTAATATTTTTTTTCAACTAATACAATAAAATTTTATTTCGTTAAAGTATAAATACAAAAGCCACTATCTCTAAATAAGAAGCAAAGTGTAAATATACCAATTATACTAAAAAAAAAAAAATACTGTAAAAAATTTTAAAACCCATTGCCATTTTTATAATCATAATACTAAAAAAATACATGAAAAATAAATACAAATAATACAATTATTTTCGTTAAAATTAAAAAAAAAATCAATTAATTTAAACATGCGATATTTTAACGAAAATATGCTACATTATTTGCATATAATTATTTGTTATAACATATTAAAATTTTTTGTTTTAGTAAGTACATAAAATAAAAATATTTATGACTTAATTTGAATTTTATCATTGTCTTATAAACAACATATCTTATTTCTTGAATTTAGGTACATATATACAGAAAAATGAAAAATAAAACAAACAATTGCAAATAAATAATAAAATGAATTATATGTGAAAAAGCATAATTTTCTACGTAGAAGTGCAAATGATTAAAAAAAAAAACATCTTCAATAATTAATTGACAGTAACTAGTGCATATGTGAATAAAAACACTCTGTCTTACGTAGGTCTATTATCATGATCTTCTAATGCATCTTCTGATTCTTCCATACCCTCCATTTCATCAATTTGTGCCCATGACTTTAATTCATCTCGTGTAAGTGTTGCTATTTTCCTTTCTTCTTCTTGTTTCATTTTTTCTACCTCATCTTGACTGAGGAAACTGAACACTTTTTCTGAAGAAGAAGAATAATAATAGAAATTTAATAAAATTTAAATTCTTAAATGAAATAATTTATTTGTAAATTAATAAAGAAACATAATTACCAGGCTTTGGAGATGGTTTAAGATGCTCCTCAACAGCATGTTCAAACAATCTCTTCCTGTCACTTACAGACATTTTACCAGGAGTTAATGGAGGTGGTACTGGCGTAACAGGTGTCGGCGAAGGTGAAGGTGATGACTAAAATTTTTAATAATGTTATTAATTATTCTTAAACATTTTTTACACTGAGAAAATAAATTAAATTCATCAGAAAGATCAAAAATTTAATTTAAAAAATAGTGAATGTTGAAAAAGACATGTTTTTGTGATTATTTTTTTAAAAAATTATAAATTTTTTTCTCAGTGTATTAATATAGAATTAATAAGTGTTCATTATTAATTTTAACTTAAATAAAGCGTGCTGAAAGCTTTATTAAATTAAAAAAAAAATTTTTTTTAATTAAAGGCAAAAATATTTTAGTTTATTATTTGTTAATCATGCTTAAGACCCACCTCAACCAAGTTTTTTCCACTGACAGAACGTGCAATCTGTCTTTGATTATATGAGTTGGAAGTAACAGAATTCTTCAGTAACTCAGTACTGCCAGTCAGTGGTGTCGGAGGAAGGCAAAAACGCGACGATTTTTTTTTCCCCGTATCACCACATATATTTTTTTTGTAAAAGTCTGTTGCTGGATAGTAATTAGAAATTTCGTGCATAGAAACTGGTCGATTTTTAAGATCAGACGCCATTGAGTTGACGATAGGAGTTGCAATGCATTGTGTTGATTTATAAGGAGTAGGAAGAGTAGCAAAAGTTATATTACGTTTGGGAATATTTTTAGTTTTTTGTGCAGGTAATGTAAAGGATAAACCATGATCGAGATTCGTAGTAGTTGTATAGGATTGTGATTTAATACATGAGATAGGAAGTGATTCAACTGATGAAGGAGGATCATCCACAGACGTTCCGTCTTCTTCTTTATTTTTCGACTGTAACGCCTGATGAAAGTAAATGAAAATTAAACAATAATTGTTAATTGAAGTTGAAAGTTAAAGAAAAGAACTTAGGAAACTTTCGATTGTAAATTATGAGTGATTAATATACAAAAAGACATTCTTTTTTATCTATAAATCACAAATAAGATTGCTTTTTCAATAAAAATAGTAAATAATTAAAACAAAAAAACACTAAATAAATCAGTAAATGTAAAAAAATAATATCACATATTTAAAATGAATCATCATTCAATATAAAACAAAATAAAACTCAAAATAACTAATATAAATAATAGTAGTGAATTAATTCCATTTAGTATTATTTCTTTCAACTTTCATTGTCAAGAGAAATCCCATATATTAATATTGTATATATTTAATAATATATACAAAAGAATTAAAGCCTTGATTCGAAGTAAGTAAGGAATCTAATGACTTTTTTTGTCAACATCCTTTTATTTTATATTAAGATAATTATTTTTTTATATTTTGTAATAATATATAAACATCTGGTCCATTAAAGTCATATCAACATATAACATTGATAGAAAATTTATAATTACATTGGAGAGGCTGAAACCTCTTTTGTGATATGGGTTTTAGTGTAACAGTGAACATTGCATAGCTTTTTTTTTTTTCGAAAGAAGACAAAAAATTATTTGACATTATAATCTATAACTATTTTTTTAGATTCATAATTTTTTGCCATTTGATTTTTAAATTTGTTTTCCTTAATTCTGACGATAATTGATATATAATAGTGTATACTGTAAATAATTATGAACATATGAACATTCGTTAGCAATGATTGGACATTATTTTGTGACGTACAATGAACAAATGTATATTAATTTTTGTATATACAGACTTTGTCACAACCTTGTTATTGATTTTAAAAACAAAATATTTTATATAATAAAATTTGTCAATATCCTTTGAGTAATTTTTAATTATTAAACATGAATTAATTTATCAAAAAATAATACATTTCTTTTGTACAGCACTACATTTAAAATAGGTACTATTTTTTATAGTAATCAGGATCAATTGGACGATACATCTTTAGGATTAAAAAATATCTAAAATTTTAGGATATTCAAACTTTACATCTCAGTTACTCTACACTGCATTTAATAATAATTTATACATATTGCTAATAAGAAGCAATCAACTATTTGCACTAAATTCATTTCATTTTATGCTGGTAAATAAATTAATTATTTGTGAAAAGAATTATAAAATTTTTACATGTATATTTTTTTTGGTAAAAATAATTAAACCAATCTAAGAATCAAATTTCTTCTGTGAAAAAACATTTTATAGACTTTAGTGTCATTGCACAATGATAATTGCATATAAAGAAAGTTGAGATTCAACTTTTTTAAATTTTTATCACAGAAACATATCCAATAACCGGTCAACTATTCGAAAACGAGATAAAAATAACTGATAGATTATATTCTATACAGTCTTAATGTTTATTTATTAATAATGATATTATTCAAAAGAATGATTCTCAACTATTTATTCCATTCATTTCTGACAACAATATTGTTAAATGACATTGGTAATATTATTAAACATTATAATTTTTAGAATGTAAAATATTACACTGATTTTTCCAGTTTTTTTTTAAGTAAAGATCAAATATCAATTTATTTAAAATATCTTTAAAAGCTTAAAAAAAAATTAAAATTTTTACTTTTAATAGCTTAAGAATCATCCTTAATATTAATGACTAACGAATTATTAATAAAATCATCGAATATTTAATGATCTGAATGAACTGGCCGATTGAGATTTCTAAAATCCATGTTTTAAATAATATACAGGCCTCTAAAATTTGAATCACAAAATTATCTTCAACATTAACTGATTTTTTATTTTATTTCTACGGTGCTAATTTCAATTAAATTTAAATACGTGACTTTATTACTAGAATTTAATGAATTTTCTTTCAAACTACTATATCACGCATTATTTTTAAGAATTAGAAAAGAGTAGAATAATTTATTTATCATAAAAAATGTTAATTACTAAGACAAAAATGTATAGAAAAATGTTAGATTGACTAAGGTTCTTGAAATTAGCACTCAAAAATCAGTAATTACCATTCAAAAAACTATCCATTGTAGACCTGTGTAATCTTAATTAATGGCAGTAGCAGACGGAGCAACAATATCTTCAAATACGCAACAATTACACGTACGTGAATAAGAATACAATGATATTAAGAATATTAATAAACATATAAATATTTTTTTTTGTGTTAAGAGCGATTATGCGACAAATACACTCCTTAGTAGACGCGTATGAAGATTCAAAGATAAATTACAGAAGAATTTGACAATTCACTCCTGTCAGAGGGCGGCCAGAGTGGTACTGTCACCGTCCATATTCTGTGAACATGTGAAATACGTCTCTTTTTTGGCTCATAAAAGATCATGCGTCACTACAAACACTGACAGTAACATGATCCATGCGCCATTGATAATTAAGTAGAAATTAATTACAATATAATATGTATTAATAAAAATTATGATGAATATAATATAAGATTACTGGTGTTCGATAAATCGATAGGCTTATTATAAAGATCTTAAAAAATTTTTGCTATCTATTTATAAGTGTCAGTTAATATTAAATATTCGTCGCTTGTTTAACTCTACAACATATACTTATGTAAAAATTATTTTAACCAACTAACGCTGATCAATTTAATAAAAATAAATTTATAATATTTATAAATTTAATTTTTTTTTTTTTATGGTAAATATGTTTACCGCAGAGTTAAACTTGCCTAAAGCCAACATGTGCAATATTTATACATGCTGAATGATTTTTAATGAATCGATGACAATTATAAACATTCATTATATGTAATGAAACATTAATAAAAAATTTAAAACTAATTAATCACGTTTATCTTAGGGAAGATGGTGAAAGAATGAATTTTTTAACAATAAAAATTGTTTGAATTTCTCTTGACAAATGATATCATTTTTTTGTTTGTTTGTTGAATAAATGATTTTTCATAATACGATGTGTTTTGCAATAATAATTTGTGCATATAATTTTTCATAGTGATATTAACAAGCTCAAAGTGCTGCATTCATTTTAAACATTGCTTAATTTAATTATAAATATCATCAAAAAAGAAATCATAGTTCAACCATATATCACATGCATGTAACATTCCATGCATTAAAAAAAATATATTCCATAATTAAACTACTTTAATAGACTAACGTATCTTTTATTAATTGATTATTAATCATAGTTTAAGAGTACGTGTTAGTTATTAAATTCATAACGTCTGATTGAATACTCACAGTAGGGTTTTGCGGTGCCAATGTATGTTTGCTCATAACAATTGTAGTGGTTTTAAGGTCTTTATTTCCCCCAGGTGATTTAGGTGGTATAGGAGTATCAACTGGACTATTTGATTTATTTACTAATGATTCAGCTGCTCTTACTACATCCATTACCTATGCAAAAAAAAACTCTATGTCTACTTCACGCAATCTTATCCGATCAACAAACTACCTTTTCTCAAACTCATGCTTAAATCTTTCCCTACATAATATATAGAAGCAAATAAAAACATACTTTTTCAGGAGTCGATTTCTCTCGGTGTTCAATCAATGCCCTTTCACGTTCCTCTTGTTCCCAGGCTACAAGTTCTTCTTTCATTTCTTGTTCTTGTCGAAGTGTAGCAGCCTCTTCATCGTCTCGGTCAAGACTTGATACACTATGAGACAAAGACTTCATTCCCTCTGTGGGAGATTCTTTGTTATCTTGAGATCGTTTCGATTCTTTAGAATCTCTTCCTCCACTCGATAAACTAAACAAGTGTTCTACTTCATTTTTATCATAACCTTTGCACACAACTAAAGTTATTTTATTGCCTGAACTTCGGAGTATATTTACGGCTTCTTGATGGGTTGCACCAAGCAATGAGGTTCCATTAACTTCTAACAATCTCATGCCAACCTAAAAAAATAAGATAAAGTATTCATTTAAAATATTAAATATCATAATAAATTATATTAACGTAAAATAACTTTAACTTACTTTTAATCTACCATCACGTTTTGCAGCACCACCAGAGTTTATTTTAGAAATAAAAACTCCTTCATCTGTATGATCAAGTGGATTTCCTCGTTGTCCTCGAAGTCCACCTTTTATATGCATTCCTAATTTTTCACCAGGTTCTTTGACTATCACAAGTTCCTAAAAGATCATCAACATTTTATTAAAACAGAAAAAAAAACTGCTGAAAAAATTTATTTAATGTCACATTTATATTTAATCCTATTTGATTACTATATTTTAAAAAGTAGAGAAGCTTGTAGGAATGTGAAGAGCAAAAAGAAAGCATCAAGCATATAAGCAATTGATGAAGGGATGGTTATTTTATTGATTGTGCAGATAAAAATGTGCATAATTAAGAACCACAATGGAGTGTTGTTTATCAAATTGATTACTTACTGTTACTGGAATATACTCTATTTCGACCAGCTTGTTGAAACAAGTTTAGCAATTAGAGCAAGTGATTATTAATAGTGAGAAAGATTCAAATTTTCAACAATAAATCTAAAGATCTTTTTACTTTATGATGAACGGAATAATGTAATTATTAATAGAAATTAGAGAGAACTATTAAATGCTAGTTGTATACATGTGCAGATAAGTGACAAAATGCGAAGCAAACTAATGTTGAAAGCTGAAATATTTTTATGTAATTTTCATACTATCAATATAGTTTTCAATACCTGATAGTTTTCTGGCAGTGGATCATGCTGAACAGTCAACACAATTGATTCACCGGGCCTTAATAACTCCATAACAGCTTCCTGATGAGTGGCTTTAGTGACATCAGTTCCATTTACTTTCAATATCCTGTCACCCATTCTGAGTTTCCCAGAATTTGCGGCAATACCACCAGGTACAACCTGTAATTATCAATCAAATATTAAATTGAAAAAAATCGATTAAAATAAAGATAAAATATTTAAAAGACACGAACTTTTTCAGTGTATATTATAAACTAATATTTATGTATGCAATACAGATATAATAGCTATTCGAGTCTTGTGTTTCCCCTCAAGTGCTAGGGATGTAATAAGCATGCAAAGCTTCCCTACAGACTCAAAGAGTTAACCCTTTGACCTATGTTTTTTATAACTTCATAGAATTTAGTTAAACATGGAGCATCAGTTTAGACATACCAGTAACGATTATTTCCCAGGATAAAAATAAATTTAAGAAGTTTATAACGAGGAATAATAACAAACAAACTTACGTGAGATATAAAAATTCCGGGTTCTTTAGCTCCAAATGGAATACAGGAATGATCAGTTCCACCAATGATACTGAAGCCAAGAGATCCTTCTTTCATCAATACGACATCCTAAACAGTAATTATATGATAAAGAATGATTGTATAAAAATAAACATATAATGTTCCACATTGAGATAAATAATTAAAAATAATACGGCCAATTTGGGATAAGGATAAAAAGTCGGGTCAATTGTAACGTCTAGTGAGTGAAAAATTGAGTGCGATGGAAATCTACGGTGATTTGAAGAGTTTTTTTTTACCTACATTACAAGAAATTTAATATGAAGTGATAATAAATAGCGATGCGTGCACGAAGCACATACCTCAATGATTACTGGCTGCACCAGATGGTTGTCGGTGACTCGTGTAACAACCGTCTCGGTGAGTGTGCTCTTAGTGATGGTCTCAGTAACTTTACCGAGAGTGGTAGGTGCTGGAGGGAATTTCACATCTCCCGGTAGATTGTCAGGCTGCTTGATTGTTACAGTCACGATAGGGCCCTGCTGGGAGTCTGGCGAGGGCGAGGAAGTCGGAGGTCGGAGGAAGTGAGCGGGAATCATGGCCTGAAATTCCTCGTTGGTGATTGGCTTCGGTACCTGTATGTCTTCCTGTGGTGATGTCGGTCTCGTAGATTCAACGTGGCTTGGTGTTGTCGGTCCAACACTGTGACTCTGTTCTTGTCGATGTTCCTGTTGTTGTGGCTGTTGTTGTAGAGGTATACTTTGTCTTGGTGCCGGTTGTGGATGTTGATTTATTGTTCCTGGACTAGTTGCTTTAGAAGCAGACCCTTCAGTTACTCCATTCATTTTAGCGACACCGTTCACAGGCTCAACTTTAAGAGGTAATGGAGCAGGCGGTGGAGGCGGCGGTGTTCTTGATGTTGGACTTGGAGAGAGTGTCTTGTCGGCGTCCATAGAGCGACGGTAGCTTGGATAGCCCGGTCGATTCGCTATGTAACTATTAGCGTTATAAAGTCCCGTGTATGGTCGAGGTCCACCAATCAATCGCGGAGATTTCTCCGAGGGTGTTACTTGCATCAGTGAGCTTGCCTGGGAAAGAGGTATCTCGCGCTCGACTACCAGTCGAACGAACCTTTCCAGACCTGTTAACATTGCTACAGCTTGTTCGTGTTTTGCTCCAGTCATTTCAACCCCGTTGATCTGAAAAATTTTGCGGTTCACTCAACATTACAAGATCAAAGAGTATGAAAAAAATCATTTATTTTATCACATACCGATACTACTCGATCACCAACTAGTAATTTACCATCTTTCTGTGCTACACCACCATCCGTTATTCTTGAGATAAATATAGCCTAGAGATAAAATTAATGGTACGTCAGTATGGATTATTTATTAGCAATTCAATAATAATGGGAGCAGAAAAAAACTCACATCGGTATTGTCTTTAAACGGCAGTGATCCTTTCCCACCAGCAATACTGAACCCAAGTCCATTTTGATCCCGAATTAAGGTTGTATGGACAAGTACCGGCACTAATGGCTCTTCATTGTTCATCGGTGGTAATGCTTCAGGAATTTTCTTTGTCTGCAATATTATCCCCGTAATTAAATCATCATTAATATTTTTTTAATCAATACATTATGTTTTTTAGACAAAAAAAAGTTATTTCAATACCTTAACATAGTCACGAGACAGAGTATCACCATTTTCAAGATTATGCGAATACGCAGTAGATGAAACATAAGATGTAGCACTTGGAGCACGACTTGTACTTAAACTTGAACACTCAGAGTCTTTCCTTGTCGACAGCTTCATGAATAAAAATTTAGACTAAATATTTTCATTCAAGTAGATATAACAACATTATTGTACATTCATTGCATGAGTATTTACCTGATCTGATGGTGGTACTATTCTCGTAACTTCTCTAAGAATTACCAGCACAAGAACTCGACCACAGGCTTTCAATACTTCAACTGCGTCATAATGATCAACGTTGACAACCGAAACGCCGTTTACTGAAACGACTTTGTCGCCGACTTTTAAACCAGCTAAATCGGCCGGACCACCTGTTTATCAAGTAAGCCAATTAACGATATAGCTAAAGAACTCCAATAAAGAGAATTGACATTGAATGGCATGGCTAAACGAACCTTCAGTAACTCTAGAAATGAAAATTCCCTCGTCGTCTCCTTTAAATGGTGTCGATCCAATTCCACCTGCTATCGACAAACCAAGTCCGCCTGTTGTTCTCTCTATATGAATTTCATACTGTTCTTCTCGCACTTCCAGCGATGGCTCTGCGTCCGATGTAGCTCCTGGAATACCAATAATCCATTACATTTTTTTTTTGTACTCAAATTAAATTGTTTACTTAATTAATTTATTAAACATCATTGTTTATAGCAAAGTTTATTATACTTTTTTTAGAAGTTTTTACAAATAATCGATATTTTTTTGGCATTCTGTAATTAAATTCAAAAATAATACGTTCACTTTTGTCACTAATTTTGACAATGATTCACAGAAATAAAATACTTAGGAAATTCATTTTCATCCATGTTAGTACATAACGAATTCGTATCATTCCAACGAAGAAAGATAATACATCAAAGATAAACAGTGAGTAATTTAATCATATCTTATCATTTGTACTATTACTTCAATTTAGCATGGAGACTAATATTTGATTTACGAAAATTAGAACGAGGCTTTTTTTTATAAAATTCATTAAACCAGTTATACAAATCTAATCCAAAATATTTTTTATTATGTTGATTATAAGTGATAAGTAAGATAAATCAGTGATAATAAAAAATTATAAAAATAAGTTTAAATACCTTGACTATGCATATCATAATTATCTACTGATTCCGTTGGAAGACTGGTTGACACAGATGTTTCTTCATTTTTCTTCATAAGCGTCTGAATAGAATAAAAAACATTATTTTGGTTTAATTATTAAACAAAAAAAAATCATATTCAATCAATTTATGAGATTTTTTTCTTCAAATAAACCCATCATTTTTGATTGATTAAAGAATAATTCTTTTTTTTTAAAGAAAACCAACATTTTAGACACTACATAGCATTTCATTTCTTCTTCAGACCACAGCTTAAATAAAAATAATTACTGAATAAATATAACAATCGTATATATACTAATTAAGCTTGATGAAAAGTGATTGTTCAGTGCGAATGATGTTACTAGACATCACTGAATAGATTTTTTCTTTTGAATTTAAAAAAACTGATGATTCGAATGTAATTGCAAGCAATAAAAATCATCATTGATGATGTTGAAAACCGTTATTAAGGCTGTTACATCCAGATGATGATTATTATGAAATAAATAAATCCATGAGTGAGAGGACAAAACCATCGAAGACAACAATTACACCAAAGAAAAGTTACAGGAGAACAAAATATTGAATAAATATAAAGCAATGGAAAATATTTAATACCCATCTAGAATTAAATAATCACGTTAAAGAAACACGATTTTATTTTTCTCCATTAATTTAGTATATCGAAAACACATCGATAACCACTTACTATACGATGAAAAATGAACGTTCAACATATTTCAACATTATATAAAGAACATTCAGAATATTCTGTTGGCTCTAAAATTTCCTAAAAAGCATTAGTAACAATAAAGAACAAGACAATAGTGCCGTTATCGTCGGAAATAAACACGAGTGCAGGCTGCAGTGCAAAATTGATTGAAATTCAAGGTAAGAGATTCAATATCCGGCTAAAACCGAAAATTTAATTTATTTTAGAACCGCAGGAATTTATTTTTAAAATACCTAGACACCAAATTGTTAATAAAAACCTTTTAATGTTGAGTAAATCATTCAGATCATCTAAATCATCGTTAAAAATGGAAACAGAATAGATGAGTTGGTGTTTAATAGATAAAAATTACATCATTCCTTATAAGTATATCATTTTTCTAGTAAATGAAATTCGCTGGAATTTCCATCTTAATTTTTTCAATTAGATTTATTAAGAGAATATGAATATCGTTTGATATTTAAATGACAGTTGAAACTGCTCTTTTTAAATAAAGACTTCTCAAATGCTTTGAAAGAATAAATTTGAATATATTGTTTGGAAATCTTTAGAAGCTAAATTAAGTTGATTCAGTTGACTAAGTGCTGAGTCTCTTACCTTATCATTGAAAAAAGTAAATGCATAACGAATGATTAAAAGTGAATAACACAAGAATTCAAGTGTTATCAATGCTAACCTGTGCGATGATGGAAGCAACTTTATCCTTGTCAATTGATGCATGTATTCGCTTGTTTTTGAGATGATGAGGGGTATCACGTCGATGCAGACGGTTGGGTTTTCCCTTTTCAACCCCACCCTCACAATCCGTGTCTTCCGAGATTGTAAACTCGACATGTCTCTGCATGTCTTCACCCTCCATTTCATCCTCATTTTTACCCCTCGATTCTGACACCGAACCCTCGATCTCAACAGCATCCTGCAACAGGGTCCCCATCCTCACACCTATCGCACGATACTTTTCCCACTTTTTTTTTATTTCTCTATTAACTACGTTATTTTATCCCCTCACACGTTCAACTTGATTACATTGCCAAACAAAAATTGTATTCGCACTGAACTCAACGCCTTATATTTACTCATTTCACATAAAATCAACGAATTGCGATTTTTATGCTTCCTCATGATGATAAAATAATGGCTAGTGCTTGAGTTTTAGATAAATTATCAACTTACCGTCATAGTTGATGGATCTAAAGTAAGCTGGAAATTCGCATGTAATTCTCTGTCATCATTTGCAGGTGCAGCAGAATTATTATGTAAAATTTCAGACTCTGCAACTTTGATTTCATTTTGTAAGCATTCATCACCAATGGTTTCTGGCTGTGTCTTAGCTTCCTTGGGTTCTTCATTATCTTGAGACATGTCTGGTTCACTTTTATCAAGTCCAAATGTTTGGGAAACATCCTATACAGTTAAAGTTTCATTCAATATTGAATTAAATCACACAAAGTTAGTTACTTTGGGCTAAAGTTCTGAGAATATTCTGTCTCAAATTTAATTCATTATGGATGCAACATTGTCTCGATTCTACCATTAATTTTTCTTAATCAATTTTTCATAAATACATTATTAATACCTGTTCTTCAGTAGATCCTGATCTGCTATCATTCTTTCCTTTACTAAATAATTTATGTGCCTTGGCCTTCAATTCCTTTGGATGAGGCGTATTTTGTCTTACGAATGGAGTCTGAAAGGTTATTATAATATTAAATGACAATAAAAAAATTAAAATCACAGTTAAATTTGCATTTCAAATAATACTACAACTAAAGGTACTTACATCTCAAGGAGCATGCTTTTTAATTAACGAAAAATAATTTAAATATTCTAGCGGATTTAAATCAAATAAACAATTAATACAAAGTATAAATATTTATTAACCATCTAAATCAAAATACTCTTTCTAGTTTTTGTATCTTATGCATTCAATGTAATATCTACAAACAAAGTTAGTTTTTAAGATGCATGCTACAAATACCATGCATTTGTTTAAATTACATGCAATTATTGTAAGAAAAAAAATGTTAGAAAAGAAATATTAGTAAATTCTACAAAACATCTTGATTGTAGGAGTTAGTAGAATTTATACAACAGATGTGCTGAATAGAATGAAAAAAAGTAGAAAGTGCGAAGGCTGAGGGCCTTGGTATGAGCAAAACGCTCACCTCCTTGTCAGCTTCTGGTCCATCATCAGTGAATTTTACCGAGTGTGTCCTTGATGCTTCTTTTTCCTGCCAATTTTCATCATCACTACTGCCTAATTCTCTCATTTCATTGCCTGAGAGTACATTTCTCATTCCTACTACTATTCCTCCTATACGTCCTCCATCTAGATTGCAAAATAATTTTTTTTCAGTAATATTTATTCAATAAAGTATCAAAAATAAATGATAAGAATAAATAAATTACCATGTAAACTAGAAGTGTGATCTTCTAATTGCGGTAATAAGAAACAAGTGAGTACTTCCTGGCCAGTATCTTCATCAATATCTGTTTGGAAAGTTAACATTGGTTGTGCTTGATTTTCACTCAACCATACAGCTTTCAGATTAAGATTCAATAACGAATACGGCAAGTACTGTAATCTAAAACACATATTTTATTGATTAGTAAATATTAACATAATTAACAAGTCTAAAATAGTTTTATTTTAAAGAATTTTTATATTTACCGGTTTCCTGAAACATCCAATACATGAAGTGCCGAACATTGTCCAACTTCTGAAGGAAGATACTGAAGTTTATTTTCTCTCAACGACAATACTCCTAAATTTTTTAAATTCCCTATTTCCGTGGGTAAATATTGCAAACTATTGCGGTCAACGTTTAAATTATTCAAATTAAAAAGATTCCCAATGGAGACTGGCAGTTCAAACAGAAAATTTTCAGTAAGTATTAGCTCCTGTAAATTTTCACATTTACCAATGTTTGGATTTAAAACAGACAATCTGTTTTGGTCAACTTTTAGAATAGTCAATTTTTTAAGTTCTCCTAAACCATCAGGGAGTTTTTCGATTACATTCTGTGATAGATGTAAATCTGTGAGAGACTCAAGGCCACCAATTTCTTCAGGTAAATCTTCTAGACGATTTTCTGAGACATCAAGGCAGGCAAGTGTCGTCAATAGACCAATTTCAGGCGGCAAGTGTTGCAGCTGATTATGATCGAGCCATAATTCTTGGAGAGCTGGTAATTTTCCTATATGAGGAGGCTAAAAAATTTGTATATTAGTTAATAAATGATACTGTTTTGATATTAATTTAATAATTAAATTTCATAAAACTTACCAATTCTTCAATTTCATTATCTCCTAAGTCTAATCTTTCGAGTTTCGTCAACTGCGAGAGAGATTCAGGCAAGGATTTAAGAAGATTTTCCCTCAATTCTAGTGATTTTAAAGCTTCCAAACTAAAATATCATTAAATGAGATGTTAATTATAATTGTAAGGTGTTAAAACCAAATAGGATAATTTTACTTTTGAAAATTTCTGATGAGTTAACCTTTGAATTACTATGATAGCAATGATCGCTACATTTACTTTGATATTTACCTTAAGGAACTAATTAACTTTGATCTAACATCACCAAACGTAATATGATTGGTATTTAATTTTAGATTAATTTTAAAAATAATAATAAAATAGAAATAAATTTTTTTTTTAATTAATCAAAGTTAAAAATTATTGATTACCTTCCAAAGTCGGGTGGTAAATTGGTAAGGGACATGTCATTGAGGCCAAGTGTTGTGAGATTCCGTAGCTTTACGAAACCCGCTGGAAGTCTGTAATCATGACAAATAAATCATTTAAAAAAATCTTATCATGAAAACATATAGAGCAATTGCTCTAATCTAAAACAATCAAAAAATAACAATTAAATTTACCTTGGTATTGGATTGCTGCTAAAATCTGCCACCTGAAGAGCTCGTAAATTTTTGATGTTTTCAGGAATATCAGGTATATCTGCAACACAATAAATCAGTTGCTCAGTTATTATTAATGTCAAGGCTTTCAACATGTTGACAAAGCTAATGTTTGGTTGAAAATTACATAATCAAATGTAAACAATTATTTTATTGGCATCTTTTACGATTTTGTTACAAAGTTCTTGTGTTGATATACTAATATTTTTGGACATGAAATATTTCACACACAAGTACTAAATAAATATTATCTGTCTATTTGAACTATCCTTATTTAGCAGTAAATGTCGATGTTAAAATGGAATCTTGTTTTCCGTCTTATTAAGTATCAGTATTGAGTTCAATCAGACCTTTTATGTAGGATTACTTTCTTTTATGTTATTAAAAAAAGTTTAGTGATCAATCAATAAATAACAACACAAGAAAAACATTAATTTAAAATAATTAGTGAAATCATACCACAAATATTTTTCTGTTAATTACTATTAATTTGTCGTTTTATTTCTAATTAATTTGTGTTTAAAATATTGTTTAAATGTAATAATATCGTGGTAATTTGATGAAATAATAATTAACCATCATTATATAATGATACCAAGTAACCATAAATTTTTTATTTTTAAATAGGTCAACCACTATGCAATAAATACATAATTAAAGTTATTGTAAAGTGAAAAAAGAATAACGACAGATATTTAATATCTGTCATCTGATATTAATCTGAAGCAATAGAAATGACAACTAATCATAGAAAATAATAATAAAAACATCTAGTTTTACTACTAAATAGTATTTTTAATCATTTTGTTATTGAAATTAATATAGGTCATTGTTATTCCATCAATTAAATCATTGTATAATTAGAATTAAATCCAAACTGATGTAATAATGAGGTATTATGATCAAAAAAAAATTTTGTTTGTAAATTACGATCAATTTACATCCACTATATTATGTAAATTAAATACACCTAATTAAAACAATTAATTTTCATTCACAGTTGTGTATATTTATTTGTAATTGAATATCATTTTGCATTGCATCCATTTGTCTTTCCAGTTGATTTGACTTTTTTTTTATTTATTCATGTATGTTTGAAAACAATAGTCTATTAATCTCACCATAAGATCATTTTTCTTGAAAGAAGAAGATAGAAAGCAAATAAAAGAGGAACCTGGCGAACCTTCTTGGCATGTCTCTTCTCGCTCACGCGAGACAGTCAACCTTCGCCTTGAATTCCTACTTTCTAAGTTCGCCGTGGGTCAGATCGTTGCCACGACCCCGTGCTCTCACGGCCAAAAATAAAACATAAAGAATCGGGATCAAGGAACGAGTCTATATTTTTTGCGTGTCACAAAGAATAGTTTAGAATTATAGTTGATTTTAAAAAAGAAATAATCTAAAAATACCAACAACCCACGTGTTGGTGTTCGATGCACGACCAACAAGAATGTCATCATTCTTTATACTCTAACACACACATTTACACATACACCAACTACCTGAATAGATTACTTCCATATTGCCACGTAACTACGATGACGCGATTACAACGGACCGTAATTCCGTGTGGAACATAGTGCAAAAGATTAGTTCCATCTAACCTTCATCTCAAGTCAGCATTTATTATAAAAACTAGAGTACTTCATGATGAAAAGGTTAAATTTTTTAATATTCGAATAAAGATCTGATCTATTCAGCGATTATATTTAATATCTTCTTAGATTATCAATGTCTGCTTTAATAAATGCTCCAATAATTATGCTCTCCAGCATTGATAGCAGTCTTTTTTATATTAAAATCAAAGTTTCTTAACTGAAACATGGCTCTAAATAATTAGTCAATAAAAATGACAAAATTTAAAGTAGTTATTAAGGTAAAAAGATTAAAAATTAATACTATTTCTTAATATCAAAAGTAAGGAGTGTTTTATTCTGAACAATACAAAGGTATGAATGTACTTATAGTATAGGACTGCACAATGCAGATAAAAACAGTATAGTTCAAATAAGGTGCTTTTTAATGATTGTCTTAATGTCTCAAATTGGATATTTACGGCCTAAAGATGATGGTATTTAACATCAAATTTTAGCCTACAAAATAAAATTAATTAAGTATCTGATTGATGGAAAATGTTTTGTTTGAATTAAATGATTAAATTTTATTCTTTTTAGAGTCAAAATTAACCAGTTTTGGTTCTTTTTCTGACTTGTTTTTCTTTTATCCATAATATGATGAATAATAGTTATTTTTAAAAAGTAATTTTTACTACAATTAAGATCATTTCTGCTATTTTTCTCAATATAATAGCAATTATTCCCAAGTAAAAGTTATCTTGGGCATGTCATTAAGCCCCTATTAGGAATTGTTTAAATCAGCTTAAATGAGGCATTCCCAACATATGCCTGATAAATTTGTTTTTAGGATGAAATAAGATTTTCCCAATTTCGTACTACCACCAATAATTTCCCAATTACAACCTTATGAACTTAACTGAAACGATGTCTTAGTGAGTCATTTATTAGAAAATGTTTATCTGATTCTTACTAAATAAATTCGTTACAATATAAAAGATTCACATTAAATTAAATATTTTCTTCAAATTCCAATAACAAAATGTTTTAATAATAAAAATATTTTTAGATATCCTTTTTTCTTTAAATAATAGTTAATTATTTTTATTGAACCTTAATCGGATTATACTGAGTGGAAATAGATTGTAATTTTAGAAAAAATACTTAATCAAAAAGTATAAAAATATTTAAACTATTAATATTATTTACCAATGAGATTTAAAATAAATCATAATTAATATCAATCTTTTAAAAAATTATACATATTGATCTGTTCATATCAATACAATAATAATAATTATTTAATGAAATGCATAGCCGAGTGGGCAAAGGCACTGGTCTAAGATGGGTACTTGCTAGTAATCGTAAGTTCGAATTCCCCAAGAAACAAATTTCAGCATATAATCTTTCGCAGAAATTAAAAAAATTAATCCCTACACTGCAAATTCCAAGATTTTACAAACGTGTTAAAATAACACACATAAAGCGTGTTAAATGTAAAATGTCCATAAATAAACTGTACATGATTTGTAGACACTTTTTACACATTTCATAGTGTGTTAAAATCTATAGTTTGTTTATGGTATTTAACATTGGAGAGGCTTAGTGTGTTAAAAGTGTCTACAAGAATAACACACTTGAATTTGCAGTGTATCGATATTTTTTTGATGAATTTGTGAAAAACTAATTGTTAGTTTAAAAAAAAAACTCATATAGGCATAAAAAGTTTTTTTTTCAGTTGGGAATGTGAGCCTATTGTGGTATCCCACTTGGCTCCTAATTTGAATTTAGGAAATTCGAATTGAGTGCGAACTCTTTCCTAAGAATAAATTCTACTCGAGTTGGCTTAAAAAAATGTATCAATACATTACATTTCAAGATAAAAATAATAATTGAATCAATTAATCATTATATCCAGGAATTTCATTGATTTATTAGCTCCTGTATATTCTGTTATACTTATTATCTACCATCTGACCTCTTTAAAAATGAAAAGAGACTAAATCCCGGAAATGCAATCGATATTTGGAACAATTATGTATGTGTCATACAAAAAGTGAAACATGAATGATAAAACTAGTTAATTAAAATAATAATAATGTTGCTAACAAATAATTTAATATAATAAAATAAATATAATATAATAGTGTTTGGAATAAATGAAAAATTAATTGGATCAAGAAAAAAAGTTAAATAATAAATAGAGTACAAATGTTGCACCTGTTATCATATCATTGTGCCATATAAATTGTCACAGTTTATCATGTAGAATTACCTAGTTAATATAAAGGTAATACACACATCCACACGAATATAACCGCACATGGTACAAACGCATCGTCAGACGAGTTTCAATCTGAGAATAAACTTGCGCGGGCGCAAACCTGTTGCCACTGCTGTCCTTTGGTTTATCTCTTCTGCATATAAATAAAACACAACAATCATGGACAGTACAGCCACGAGAAACACGTCGTCTAACGAGTTCTCTTGGTGCAAGGATCATTTTAATAAGACGCTATGAAATAGACATTGGGACCAGTCTCGAAACAATATTAACCAGTGAATTATCTACCATTTTATTATCAATATTTTTATTATTTAACTGCCTAAAAAATAACATAAGATTAAATCTTATTGTCCTTGAATTAATACAGAAAAAAATAGTTTCATTTTTAAAATAAAATATTCTTATTAACTTGATTATATTTTTTAAGGATGTTTTTTTTCAATTTATTCTATGATATTATAAATATGTAATTATTAATTTAAATTAAACAAAAAACTTTGACTATATAAAATTTTTATTCTATTACTTAAAAGTATCTTTTTATTTTCCCATAGCATCTTTTTTCTAAGAAATTATTCATTATCATTTTAATGAAAGTTGAAGATTTTAAAAAATATCTTTTAACTTTTAATAAACTTTTAAAGTATTCAGAGCAAGAAACGAATCTTTTTTTAACAATTAACAAATTATTGCAATTTTTCAAGACATTTAACTTTGTTCTTTACAATTAATTATTTTTAATAAAAGTAATTAAAAATCTATTTAGACTCTTAATTATTTTGATAAAACTTTATTCTAATACTTTTTATGCATTAAAAATTAATTTTAAAAAACTCCAACTAACTGCAATAATTGTTAGAAAAGTTTGTGTTTAAAAAAATATAAAAAAAAAAATAATAATAATAGTTAGAGTTTAGCGAGTCAATCTCTTTGTGATGCAACAGGCTTTCGTGCAGAAAATGAAGAGAAAATCAACAGGATCTTTTACACGACAAGCTCTAACCAATCACTAAAAACAGGTTAACCTTTTTTCCTCATAGAAAAGTTTGAAAACAAAGTTAAATCATGTGCTTTATACTCAAAAGTATTAAAATGACTAAAAGTAATTTTAGCAAAAAGCCATTTCTATAACAAAATAACTTTACCATGAATAACAATATATAACTCAATAACTAATCA